ATTGTAGGTGTTAGATGAACAACCAGAGGTTCTACCCCCAATAGAACAGCTAATTACTGCATGCCGTTGATTTGGCTGCATTCACAATCTAACTTTAAAGATAGTGGAAGGAAAAGCACTTGCTTCGAAAGCGGTGAAGCACACTATCTCATGAAACCATTCAAAGCAAATGGCGATACTGAATGCCAATGTGGAGGGCAGAATGTGAGCACAACAGACAATCTTACCACTTGACCAAGGATCCGTTGGGAATGCTGGATCAGTATGGCAGCTGTTGAATAGTTGTCAAATGATCAAATAACTGCCCCACTTTTATAGGCACTCAAACGAATCAGATGATGCGATGGCAAACAGCAAATAGAATTAGAATGCACTCGATGTATTGTTAAGCCCCCTAGCCACCTGCTGTATGCTCTACAACTCGCCACACAGATTTCGCGAGAGCTGTCAGATTCAAGACCACATTTTCCTTGATGATTTGGATTTCGACACCTAATAGCCCAATAAAACTGCGTAAAAGGAGAACCCAAGGATTAATTAAGCACACCTGCTAATTCGGACTAAGGAGTTGCGTTGAAAAATCAAACATTTTGCAAATTTGTTTAAAGATGTGTGCTGCAAAAGTGAAACTTTGACCATAGTAGGTGACATGATTGGTCAACCGTATGTGATGTGCGCCTTATCTGGGCCATTGGTACTGCACACGAAAGAAGAGCTGGCCTCTGTGCATCGAAAGCAAAGGCTGATTTACTAAAGAGGTCACCTTAAGGCGGATAGGTGTTTGGGTTCCCACTCACAACTTTGCGCAGTTAAACGGCACTTACTGATGGCATGAGGCTCTTTGAAGCGTAATATTGCGATCCTGCTCAACCGCCTATATTTGCAGCGGTAATCTTCCAAGACATGCAGTAGAGACATGCCATTTACGTCAAGTACTCGTCGCAGACTGCAAAGGAAGGGGATAATGGAGCCAGAGAGAGGGGTGATATGTGGAAGAAAATGGATGCTTCTATTTCCTGTACATCTGTGCCATTTCATCGTTC